CTCCCTCCTCTCAGGATTTAGGAACCACCTCCGTGGCTTAAGCTGCAGATAACTAGTAAATAAGATACAGTGTTCCAGTTATCATAACCCAGAAAAAAAGGTCCGGGACCAACTGGCAGTAAGAGTTGATGATGCTGCATTTAAAGGAGACCTAGACCAGGCCTTAAATTCCCCTTTCTTCAGACACCATCCATTTTGAGGCCAGTGTGGCTCAAGGCCTACTGAGGGGTCTCCAGTGAGGGCAGAAGAAAGCTATATAGAGAAGAAACTAGGGAGGCCAGATATACTGAACTTTAAATACATATGATTGTACTAGGAAATAACTGCACATGATTCGAAATTTCAAATGGAATAAAAATCCGCCTAGAGTTCTCAGCGTCTGAGAATTTTAGTCATTACTGGTCCAAGCCCTGCATCCTACAGAGAAAACTCAAGAGAAGTAATTTGTTAAAGCAACACAGGAAAAAAGAAGGAGGCCTCTAGCTTACATGGCCAGTGCATTTCTATTCTATCACAACCTTTTTATCTTTATTGTAAGTTTCAGAATAAGATTACAGAGAAAGTGAAGCAATATTGTAAATTGTGTTTTAAGTTCACAGTTAACTAAGTGAGAAATAGAAATTGTGCCAAATTTCAGAGCCAGAGTTCCACCCTGTGGAATCTGTTACCCTGGGACGAGATTCCTGGAGGGGTGAGCAGTGACAGGTTTCACCGGAAATGTAGAGAGCCTGGGAGAAAAACCCCCCGTGTTAGTCCTCGACTGGCCAATGTCTTCTCTTCGTCTGGTGGCAGCAAGTGGAGCTGAAATCTTTCAACATCAGGATGAAGACATGTACCTCAATTTTTAATTTCCACAAGCCTTGAGTCAAATGTAACATTTAACACAGATAGTTTAACTTCAGTGTAACATTAATGTGGTTCAGTCCAATTAACCTCTTTTCTTTTTTTTTAAGTATAAAGGTTTTTTTTATTATGTATAACATAGGCACAATTATTTAAAGTTAGTAATTTTTTATTTAAAGAATTTCACAAGTGATTCCTTCCACTGCCTTAATTCCTCCTGATTTTGAGTCTTAATCCCTTTTAAAAATAATTTTTGCTCAATCCACAGTTGTCATGTCAGTCATCCACAATTCTTCCAGTGGGGCTTCTTTGATCTCCCCTTGAATATGGCATACTTAAGAAATCCCCTCCCGCCTCTAATTATTGGGACCACAGTTCTTCTAGCAATTTAGTTCAGGGCCACAGTTAGGGTCAGAGTATGTGTATCTGCCTGGTTTTCAATTTCCAGCATCCTTTAAACATGATAAGTTTAAATCATTTTTACTCCTAAGCTATCACACTCTAGAGTAGTGCAGATTATTGGGATATGTCAACCTAAGAGTAAAAACACTTGAATATTATTAGAGCTTTATAGTTTTAGTAGCTAACAAATAGTTCACAGATCCAACAAATATTCTGCAAATAAAGGAAACAACATAGTTAGGTATTCTATGATGTGGGTCTACAGAAAATATGCTGTTGTCTAAAGAAAAAAAATCAAACATGGTAAGGAATAAAAAGCACATGAAACTCAAAAACTACATTTTACCAAAGGTTTAAAATAAGTCTCTAGAGAAAAATAATATTACGAACATATGAAAATTAAAATTTAAAATAGATGAATTAAATGTATAGGAAAGAACCCATATTCTCAATATAAGAAAACCAGAACTTGTTCACATTTCAGAGTCTTTATCTTGCAGAAGATCTTAAATTATAGATGGAGCAGAATAAAATACAGTCTCTTCAAAAACAATTAAGATTTCATGTTCATAACACCAGCTTCCCCCAAGGAAATTTTCTATTGATTTGTAACCTGGCCTGGAATTTGACCTTGGCATTCATGTCATGATAATTTGGGTCACTCTGAATATGCCATTTCTTGAACAAGGGCTTCTGCTAATTTTAAATGAACACAGCTGCTAATTTGCCATTCTTCTATTCGCATCACTATATGTGGGAGTAAATTTGCAATTAATAAAACATTTCCAGCAAAGCAGTCAGACTGAGGAAATGAAGGAAAGACAGTTTATCTAGTAAGTTTAAAAAGAGATGTTTCTTTTTTGCCTTTTTGGATATAAAAAGGGGAGAGAAAACAATTTAGGGCTTTATGGTAGAGGCCAGAATTGCTCCCTGGGCTAGGGTAATTAAAAAAAAAACCAATGCAACCTCAAATTAGATTTTAGTTAAAAAAAACAACAACAGAAATTTTAAGAGAATGAATGTTGAAAAGTTTGTACCAGACCTAAAAATGTTTCCTTCTTTTAAAATTTTTTCCTTCTTCCTTTCTGCCTTCTTTCTTTTCTTTAAAATTTTTTTCTTTTATTGATTCTAGACAGAGAGGAAGGGAGCAAAATATTGATGTGAGAGAAACATCCGTTGCGTCTTGCACACTCCTCAATTGGAGACTGAACCGTAATCCAGGCCTGTGCCCTGCTTGGAAATTGAACTAACAACCTTTTGCTTAAATGGACCACCCCCAACCGACTGAACCACACCAGCCAGGGCCTGCCCTTCTTTCTTTGGTTCAATGAAAATTAATATTTCTCAAGTTTAATTCATGGGAAGAGCATGCATTTGATAGTAAATAGTAATCAAGATGCTGCATTAATTAATAATATATTGTTCAGATACAGGAAAACAAAGGTCATACTGGTAGACCAGAGAACAACAGGCTGGCTGGCAGCTCTTCAGTCAGAGATACAAGTGAAGGAACTTAAAAGAAAAGGAACTCGGAGAGCTGAAGGAGGAAGTCTCAATAGGTGGGTTTTTGAGCTTGCTGTTTTCATTTGGTAGAATGTTCTCTCGTCTACTTTTCACTACCTCTATTATATTACTGGTGATAGTCCAATTTATCTAGATACGGTTAGTTAGGGCCTTGAATGCCACACTAGGTTATGGGAGCCACAGAGTTTTCTTGATTTCAATGATCAAAGACAGACTAAGAACGCAGTTCTGGTGCATACTGAAGGAAAGAGGTGCATGGCTCTTCACCCCTCCCCCCTCTTTCTTTCTGTCTCAGCACATTACAAAGTGCTAGGCATTATGCGTAGTTACCCCATGAAACGTGGGAAGCCAGGTTATTCTCCAACACATGGTCGCCAGGCAGCCTCTATGTCCTCATCACCCTTTTTACCCTCTGTAATCTGAGGGTAATTGCTCCACTGACGTCGTGCTTTGAAGGCTCAGCAATGACCTGCTACGGGCTAAGACTAGGGATTTGTTCCCTCGTCACTCATTTTGTTTTGGGTCTTCGATTTCCCGAAACCTCTTCTCACTACTCAGGAACAGCTTGCATTTTACCGTTTAAAATTTAGAATGCATTTTTACGTAGAAGCTTAAAACCAAGTTTCATTAGTTAAGAGTTGGCTATGGGTGGAGCGTCGAAGAGATTCTGAAGGGTGCCTTCCAGCGCTTTTGATATTGAAGGCGGGTGACAATAGTTCTAAAGAGTACGGTTAAAGCCTGGAGATTTTTCTTTGAACACCTCTATTCTCATACATTCTCGCCTGGGCTGGGGGCTAACTTTTCTGAAGCTTATTTAATAAGAAATCAAGAAAGGGAGCAGGGCTCGCCTTTTTTTTTTTTTTTTGACCTAAGGTCTAGAGTGAGGGGCCCGGAGGATTAGGTGAGGTCGCCTCTAGGCGTGCCCCCAGCGCAACCCGGGCCCAGCGCAGCCCCGGCCCAGCGGAACTCAATTCGCCAAGGGGCGGGGCAGACCGGGCGGCCACGCGCGCGGGCGGTAGAGTGGGCGTGTCCCGCGGGCGCGCGCGGGCGCAGGAGGAGGCGTGTCCCGCGGGAGGCAGCGGCAGCGCGGGCCGGGTGCGCAGCGCTGTGCTGGAATGTGCGGCTCCCGCGAGCTCGCGGCGCAGCAACAGAGCAAGCGCCGCCGAGGCCCGGGGCCCCAGACCCCGGCGGCAGTGGCGGCGGCCGGGACAGCAGGGCGATAGCCGGCAGTCAGTACTCTCTGCAGCCCCACTCCCGGGCCTTCGCGGGCCTTGACTGCCCCAGTGCCTAACTTTTCCACTCTCTCTCTCCCCTCCCCCGAAACTCCAGCAACAAAGAAAAGTAGTCGGAGAAGAAGCGGCGACGCCGGTTCCCCAGTCCCTCCTCGCAGAGGAAGGCCGGTACGTGCGGCGCGAGGCTGAGGGCTCGGTCGCGGGGGTGGGGGAGGGCCGGCCGGGCGGTAGTGGTGGCCGCGGCGCCCGCGGGAGGGGGAGGGCGCGGAAGGACGCGGAGCGAGGCGCTGTCCAGGGCTGATTTGCAGATACTGTGGCTCCGGCGGCGGCGGCCACGCCGGGCGGGGGCGGGTGGCCGAGCGAGATCGGGTTACACTGGCGCGGCCCGGGGGATGGGCCGGGGGCGTCCGTGGGGAGCTGCGCGGCGCCCGGACCCCTTCTCCAGTCCAGGCCGGGCCTCCGTCTCCGCGCGGGCCCCGACGCGTCTTGCAGCGGGTTCCTGGGCCGAGGAGCGGAGCTGCTTGGGGCCCTAGTCCTGAAACTTCCTTCTCGCCCTCCTGCTGCTCCCAGGTCCCGCCGCAGCCCCTCGCCTGCTTGCGGCCCTCCCGTCCCCCTCCCTCTCCGGCCTCTCCCTTTCGCCGGAAGGCGCCGTTGAGTGCGGCCGGGCGGGTTGAGTCAGCCCTGGGGCCCGGGCGTTTCCGCCAATGGGGCTGGACAGCGATTTCTGCACTTGGGCTGTTTCGCCGCCGCGGCGGCCCTCCGCGCTTGGCCACCTTGCCGCCGGAGCTGGCGGAGCTGGGGCGCACGTCCCGCGTGGCGCCGTGGGGGAGTGAGTTCGCAAACTTCCGGGGGGCGGTGGGCGCTCGTGGGGGGCCCCCCGGCACTCAGGGCTCGACGCCTCCGGAGGGCGCCCGCGGAGCCTCCAGGCCCTCTGCGGAGGGCAAGCCCGGGGACAGTGAGGAGCCGGGACTCAGGCGACGCGGTAACTTTGCCCTCTTCCCAGTCGCGGGCCGGAGGGCCAGAGAGGAGGCTGGACTGGAGAAGACTTGGTCTGGCCCAGCTGCACCCCGAGTTGGCCCCTCTTGCCTTTTTTAGTGTTGGGGAGCACAGGAAAACTTCAGGAATAGTGTCTGGGCAACTCTCGTGAACTGGTTTGTAAATGTGTGCAGTGAGCGGGGCGAGCCGAGAGGAAGCGAGAGCGCCCGAGTTTGCAAAGAGCTGCTTTGTGTTTGGTATTTTGAGAAAATGGCCGAATGCCTATTTCAGCCAGGAATGCCGCCGCTGAGGCAGTCGCTGGTGGCAGGAGCACATAGGAATTCGTGCAACACATTGGGCTTTGGGACTTTACTTGGATGGTCCTCCTGACAAACGTTAAAATTTCTTTAGGGATGGTAGTTAGGGTTTTGGGGGAGTATTAGAAAAGTCGGTGTTTGGTTAAATAACCAAGTAGCTCGGGCTGTTAAACATTGGGACAGCTTTTGCCCTCGGTTTGTTCTCTGTGTGATGGCATTTGATTCCAACTTTTGTTGGTACGTATAACTCAACCGGTTTGTGTTTATCCATTTTGGTGAAACGGATTACTTCTTGTATTTTGGGTCTAACTTTTTTAGTACTTTATGTAATTTGCAAGAGAACATCCACTTTGAGAATAGTACCCAAAGGGTGGAAAGCAACCTGGTTAAGACGATTTTAAAAAGCCCATCATGTTTTCAAGAAGGTGATCTTGTAATGGCTTCCACTAGGCAAGTAGGCCAAGTCAACACGATGGAAAAAAGTTGCTGATTGTTGAGTTTTATGATTATTTTATTTTATTAGGTGTTTAAAACGGTTCTTTATTTTCATTTGGGAAGTTTTGAGTACACCAAACTTTTTCACAGGAAAAGAAGGCTCGTATTTTTTCCCCCTTTCAAACAGGACAAATCAGGGAAAAAAAGAAACTACCGTTAAGTGGTACTTTTTCACAGTAGTTTACTCCTCTGGTATTAGTTGAGGAAATGTGAATTTCTGTTCAGTTGACCACTTATTACAGCTTCCACTTACTAGACATGTTTGTCTGGCTTTGGATTTCTTGTCTTTCAGATTCAGACCAGTAAAGGTTGAAGGGGTAATTGAGAGGCTGACAATTTACTACTATTCATGTATTGAATTTTAAGATAATTTAAATTAACATTAAAAATGAAGGCTATTGATTTTTTTTTGCCAGAAAAATGAAAAAGTGTTTACCAGTAGTAGACCTAGTTGATGGATGAGTTATGTCAAACAGTTGATAAAATTTTTCTGAGGGGTAATAGAAATCTTTGGGATGATGCAATAAAGAGAATTTGAAATTACAAAAAGATCTTAAAGGCTTATTTATATTAGTTAATGAAGTTCATTGAGCTTCAAAATTGTATTGGAAAATGTATTTTGAAAAAGTTACAAAGAATTACAATGATGTTTTGGTTTTAGACCAGTAAGAGTTGTATTTAAACTGGTGCTTTTGTGTTTTTTGTTTCGTTTTGAATTTAGAATACAGTTATGGCCACCCAGGTAATGGGGCAGTCTTCTGGAGGAGGAGGGCTATTCAACAGCAGTGGCAACATCGGCATGGCCTTGCCTAACGATATGTATGACTTGCATGACCTCTCCAAAGCCGAATTGGCTGCTCCTCAGCTTATCATGTTGGCAAATGTGGCCTTAACTGGGGAAGTAAATGGCAGCTGCTGTGATTACCTAGTTGGTGAAGAAAGACAGATGGCAGAATTGATGCCTGTTGGGGATAACAACTTTTCAGATAGTGATGGAGAAGGACTTGAGGAGTCTCCGGAAGTAAAAGGCGAACCCAGTGGACTGGAAAACATGGAACTGGAAAGTTTGGAACTCAGTGTTGCAGAACCACAGCCTGTGTTTGAGGTACCAGCTGCCCCAGAAATTTATAGCTCAAATAAGGATCTTCCTCCTGAAACACCTGGAGCAGAGGACAAATGCAAAAACTTGAAGACCAAACCCTTTCGGTGTAAGCCATGCCAGTATGAAGCAGAATCTGAAGAACAGTTTGTGCACCACATCAGAGTTCATAGTGCCAAGAAGTTTTTTGTGGAAGAAAGTGCAGAGAAGCAAGCAAAAGCCAGGGAATCTGGCTCTTCCACTGCAGAAGAGGGAGACTTCTCCAAGGGCCCCATTCGCTGTGACCGCTGTGGCTACAATACCAATCGATATGATCACTATACTGCTCACTTGAAACACCACACCCGAGCTGGGGATAATGAGCGAGTCTATAAGTGCATCATTTGCACGTACACCACAGTAAGCGAATATCACTGGAGAAAACACTTGAGAAACCATTTTCCAAGGAAAGTATACACATGCGGAAAATGCAACTATTTTTCAGACAGAAAAAACAATTACGTTCAACATGTTCGAACTCATACAGGTAAGAGGCTCTTTGCAGTCTGTAAGTTCAGTTTACTTTTGGTAGTTAATTGAGTGGGTAGTTAAAAAATAATGCTAAAAAAGGGGAAGGGGGACCCTGAATTCAAACCCTGTTTCATTATATGCTGTCTTTGTGACCTTGAACTCTTTATTTATTTTATACATGCTTCAGTTTCTCAGTGGAGGTCACAGCATACTATAGGATTAAATGATTCAGTGCAGGAACACAAGTACTGAGTGTTATATGGAAGAATAGCTATTAGTAACCTTATCAATGTTATTTCAAAAATACATATTTTAAGCAACTTGGGACAGACCATTTAGCCAGATTAGACAACTCTTTTAGAAGATTGATTTCGCAGTGAATACGTGGTAAGATGCATACAGTAGTTTCCCAAAGGAATTGAGGGCTTAGACAAAAAGGAAAAAAGTCCACTCATTAATATTTGCATAACCCCATTTAACACAGCCTCACACTATTTAGAAAATTTAATGTAGGGTATTGAGTCCCAGATAGGACAACCTAACTTGTTTTGTCCCCCAAACATAGAAAGGTGAGAAGTTAGTTTTTAAAGGATTGGTGGGTTACCGTGCTTGGAACCCATTGTTCTCAGAAAGAAAACATACATGGAAAATGCAACAGTTTTTCAGACAAAAAATAATGTTCAGCATATTTGAACTCATACAGGTAAGAGGACCTTCCTAATTTATAAGTACACTCTATCAAAGAAAAAAGGAACAGTCTTAAAAGTATGAACAATTGCAAACATCTTAAAAGTAAAGAGAATGCTACACTGTTCCAACATGTACCCGTCACCTATGTCCAACAGTTATGAGTATTTGGTCACATTTTGCAATTCACTTTTTAAAATAGTAGGTTTATTGAGATATAATGCACTCTACTCTCACAGAGCTCATCCATTTAACATTACAATTCAGTGGTTTTAGTACATTCACAGTGCTGGAGAGCATTGTGCTAAGTGAAATAAGATCGAGAAAGACAAGAACCATATGATTTCACTTAGGTTTGGAATCTAATGACCAAAACAAACAAAATAGAAACAGACCCATAGGTAGAGCATAGACTGACAGCTCTCAGAGGGGAGGGGAGTTTTGGGCTTGGTTAAAAGGTGAAGGGCTTAGGCGAAAAACAAACAAAATAAAACAAAAAAACAGTTCATAGATGCAATCAACTGCATGGTGATTACTAGAGGCTGGGCGGGTTGGGGAAGGTAGAAGTTATAGGGGGATAAATGGTGATGCAAGGAGACTTGGAGTGGCGAACACATAGCACATTATACACTTGATGTATTATATAGAATTGTATACCTGAAACCTATATAATTTTATTAACCAATGTCACCCCCCAACAAACTCAATTAAAAAAATGACATAGTCACAGTGTTGTTGCAGCCATCACCACTATCGATTTTAGGTCTTTTTGTCTTAAAAAGAAACTCATATCAGTGGTTACTCCCCCTTTCTCAACACTTCTTAATTATTCACTTTTAAATTTACTTTCAAATTGTTGTAATTAGTGGTCTCAGTTTTTTCAAAGAAATGTTTGTAACTTATGATGGTTAATTTTAATTTACATCTTCTTGTTAAGAGTTGGTACTCAGGTCTAACTGCTAGTCTGAACAAAACGGAGGAATCTAGCGCTGTGCTCTTGCATCGCAAGCGAAAGGGGGATATACTGGATGCTGTTTGGTTCAGTTCCCTTTTGCAGGAGTTGTCACTTTGTAGGACCGAACCCCCGCTGGTAAAGTGAGGGACACAGTGGGGAGATAAATTGATACTGCTTAGTTAGCTTAAGCGGTAGACGTCACATTTGCAGGTGAAATTCCATTAAGTGAAAGATTTCTGCAGCAAGACATCTAAGCTCCAGCAGATGGCTTCTGTATGTAAAGTTTTAAATCTTGTCAAGTAAAAGGATTTGTAGTCCTTTTGCAGTTTGTTGTAACCTATGAATGATTGTCAACATGCCTTGAAACCATTTCATTTCAAAACTGAAGAAGTTCAAACATTACAAAAAATATAGTGTAGGAAGCAAACTATGTGGGCATCCTGCCCCATTAATTACTTAACAGTTTTTTGAGTTAAACAAATTGTTAAAGACTAAACTAACCTCACCTATGATGTCTTAAAACTGATCCCAAAGATCATGTGTACACTTCATTTTTAAGTACTTAATATTCATTTAACAGTTTTTTGAAAACCTTGGGGTTTAATTTAGAATTGGCTATGACATAGAACTTTCAGGTAGTTACTATGACGTGTAGTAAAGCGCATAACTTTTATGTGTACACCTTGATGAAGTTTTACAAATATATGTACACCTAACCACCCTGAAAGTCAACATAGAGAATGTTACCAGCACCTCAGTGCCTTTGTTACATTAAGTTTTTATCAGTTTTAGTTTGATACCTTTGGAACTGTTGGGTCACTGAACAGTTTAAAAATTTTCCTTAAAAGCTAAAAATGTTTTAATTTCCTTTTTGTTGAATTTATTGGGGTGACACCGGCTAACAAAATTTAAAATGTTTTCAACCATAAATCTAAATTTTTGATTTAACAGCATTTTTAGCCCTGACCGGCATGTCTCAGTTGGTTGAGCATCGGCCTCAATCACCTGAGCCATGCAAAGTGAAAGGTCACCGGTTCAATTCCCTGTCCGGGCTGCTCCCTGGTTGGGGGCTTGCGAGAGTGAACCAATCAATGTTTCTTCCCTCTCTTTTTCCCTTCTCCTCTCTGTAAAAAGAGATAAATAAAATCTTAAAAAGGAAAACATTTTTAAAAGAAAAAAAGACAACTGGAAAAATTTCAATTTTTGTGTGTATCTCCAATTTTTTATGTGAAAGGTTTAAAATAGGGACTTTTAATTTTTTCATTTATTAATTTTTTAATTATAGTGATTTATTTTAACTTAATTACAGTCTGGGTAACTAATTTTTAATGGCTGATTTTTATATAGATTATACCATTTATTAACATTTTCTTCACATTAATTTGAGGTTGGTATTTTCACCATAAGGTTATGATTTACATACTAACATTGGTTGTATATGCCTCATTTCACGTTTTATTGTTAAACCTATTCGGTCTTTATGCGTTTAAAAGGGATTTCTCTTTTACCCTATTTGTGATATTTATGATTTTTTAAAAAACAATTTGGTGATGTGTAAATTAAAGGATGATTTAATTATTTAAATTCTGAGAGTATCTAGTATTAATGCATGGTGCAAAAGAAATTGTATTTGTGGATAAATAAATTCATCTAGTGCTGAAGAGTAGAGAAAAGGAATGATAGCAGAATCACTTATTTCTCATTGAGTAGCCTAGTCAGTTAATGGGTTTCTTTTGAGTGACCAGTGGTAGGTACTTCCTTCTATTCTATGCTCAAATCTTCAGAATTATCCGTTGATGAAGTGGGTGTGCCCAACCGTAGCCTTTGTTTACTTAGAGGAGGTTCCCAAGGTCACATACGACAGATTTAAGGTTCCTAATTTCATTTGTTTTAAATAAGATTTTATTTATTTACTTTTAGAGAGAGGGGAAGGGAGGGAGAATGAGAGAGAGAAACATCAATGTGTGATTGCCTCTCACACGCCCCCACCCCCAGCTGGGGACCTGACTGGAAACCCAGGCATGTGCCCTGACAGGGAATCCAACCAGCGTCCTTTCAATTCGTAGGCCTGCGCTCAGTCCACTGAGCCACACCAGCCAGGGCTCCTAATTTCTTTTTATGGGTAATTATCATGGTGGGGGCTGAAGACTGTTTTCATTTAAGTCTGAAATCAAAAGATTTTTAATTTTGTGGTTTAGATATATTTAACCAGTTCATGAATTCTACTTTAAAAGATGACATTCTCGCCTGTTTGTGTGACTGAAAAGTCACTGTTTTGTAGATTATGCCTATAGTGTAGAATTGCACAGATAAAAGCAATCTACTTTGTTACAAAGAATTTGAAAGTAAATTATCCTTTATTGACTCTTCATGTTACTCTATAGCAGTATATTAATTTTTATTTCATTAACTTTTTAAAATAACAGCTTAATTGAGGTATGTAGCATACAATGCACTATGTATTGGCCCGTTCTGGACATTGCATATATATGGAATCATACAATATGTGTCCTGTGTAACTGCTTTTCTCTAGCACAATGTTTTCAAGGTTTGCTCATGTTGTATGTACAGTACTTACTTTCCTGTACTTGTCATGTAAGTCTTGTATGCATGCACAACATTTTGTTTATCCATTCATCAGTTAATGGGTGTTTAGGCTTTTTGTCTGCTGTCAATAATGCTGCTCTGTACATTTCTTGTACGAGTTTTTGTGTGGATGATTTTTTTTTTCTTTTAAATCTCCTTTGGATATATATATAGCTGGGAGTGGAATTGCTGGGCCTAACAATTAGGTTTAATCATTTGAGGAATTGCCAAAATATTTTCTAAAGTTGCTGCATTAGTTTACAATCCCAGCAGTGTATAAGGGTTCCAGTTGCTCCGTATCCTAACCCAAACTTGTTACTGTCTTTTCTTTTTTAGAATGTCCTATCTGTTGTTTTGATTATTGCCAACATAATCAGGTGTGAAGTCTTCATCTTATTTTGATTTTCATTTCCCTTATGGCTGCAGATACTGTGCATCTTTTCATGTGCTAATTGGCCATTTGTGGCTCTTCTGTAAAGAACTACTTTTAAAACCTTTAAAACTTTCTTAAAGTCCTTCCAGTTAAAAGTAGTCATTCTATGCTATGAATTATTTACAGCTAATCTATAGCTACCAGCCAGTTACAGCTGAGCAGTTACTGGAAACATTTCTCACTCATCACCACATCCTTTTTTCTTTTTTCATTCGTTCTTTTGTCTCATTTTATTAGACACATGTATTGCTGTATTTTACTATGTAGACAAAATAACTGATGTTTATTGAGGGCTTAATATATGCCAGGCACTATGTTAAGTACTCTGTATGTATTAACTTAATTTCTCACAATTCTAAGAAGTGAAGATACTGTTACTTTTCTAGACACAGAAACTTGCTCAAGGTCGTAAGTATTACCTTGTGACCAAAGACTAGATGAAACAAATTTTCAGGCTTAAAAAAACCCTATACTTTTGTGGTTGACAATCCACGCTCGAACAAAAACAGAACATGCATTTTTCTGCCTTAAATTCTTCTGTACAGTAGTAAATCACTGGCCTCTCATCTTCAATTGCTCTGTCTCTATGGTTTTATGAATAAAATTTGTTTTAACACTGACTTACTTCATAAGTTATATCTACCACTTGAAATTTTTAGAGTAAAGCAACAAAATTCCCACTAAAAGCATTTTACTTTGAGTGGAACAATTTCAGATGGCAGATTTATCATTTACAAGATCTTAAAAAAAAGTTACCTACGTTACAACTCAGAAAATTTGGGTAGATTTTTCTTTAAGGATAGTTCTGATTTAAAAAGTGCTTCTTGATGCCTCATCAGGATAATTTTTTAGTCCTTAATATTTCATGGAGCCCTGGCCAGGTAGCTATAGCTCAGGGGGTTAGAGGGCTGTGCTGATAGGCCAACGTTTCAGGTTCGATTCCCCCTTTAGGGCACACAGAAGAATCAGCCAGTGCATGCATAACAAAATGGAACAGCAAATTGATGTCTCTTTCTCTTTCACTTTCTCTCTAAAGTGTATTTTTCAAGAAAGCCAGTGATATTGTCAGCAAAATTGAAATGATGGTTATTTAAATTCTTAGTGAGATAATTAACATTTCTAAAATTACATAAATTATTTAGTGGGCATAGGGAAAACATTTATATTAAAAATACTCAGTATTGATTATATATACTATTAGTAAGGATTGTATTTTTACCATGTTTAAACATTAATCCTTGTATTTTTGCAGGAGAACGCCCGTATAAATGTGAACTCTGCCCTTACTCGAGTTCACAGAAGACCCATCTAACTAGACATATGCGCACTCACTCAGGTTGGTACGAAACGGGAGTTCTCTGTCATCTGTAGTAAATTACCATTGTGAAGATGTTCTTCTAGCCTTGGACCTGGGACGTTATTTATGGTTATCTTTTTAATACAATTTAGAAATTAGAGTTAAAAATAAATGTTCTATTAATATGGAGCTGTATTGAAATGGAGATAGTTAATGAGTCCATAGGTGGAACTCCTGTAAATGTAAATGTGTGTGTACTTTTCTGGAAGGCAGGTCCTTAATTTTTATTAACTCTTCCACAAGTTTCATGACCCTAACAAAAGTCGTACTACTTTCATAGACCAAGGCTGGTTAATCCTTTTGGAGCAACTACCTTCTCACACTCCTTCCTCAACACAGTATGACACCAAGTTTCATGGTGTGTGGTCGAGAGGCTCCAGGGATCCGATCCCTTCTTAGCTTCTCAGGTCTTGAAATTTGGATTTGTTCTCTTTTGCAAGTTGATAGGGCTTTTTTGAGGAATGATTTATTTACAAAGGTAAACTTTAAAGGATGATATAAAATCTGAGATATTAATTTACTAGGCTATAATAGATACAGTGCAGGACTATAACAGGTGGGAGGTTTATCTACTCCAGTGAAAGAATCAGGATCACTAACCAGAATTGGTCTCTGTTATCAAGGTGGCCAAGTTAAGGAGTAAATACTTAGCAGAAGTGGTATTGACTGGGTCATTTTTTCATTTTGGCCATGATTGATCCTTGGTGGACTGCCATGTCTGATCAGAGCACTCCTTCCAGATTTATAATATGTATGTGCCCCACATGGACAAACTGCTAAATAAAGCCTTCCTGTTTACAAAAGTCTGTATAGACCCATCTCCATAAGTTAACACGGAACTTACGTCTGTGTGTCCAGTTGGGTAGCCACTAGCTCCGTGTGCTTACTGAGCTTTGTGAAATGTGGTTGGTTGGAATTGAGATGTATAAAAGAACTGAAATTCGAACAGTAATTCGAACAATAGAAAGAGCTCTGGCCGCGCAGCTCATTTGGATAAAGTGCTCTCCCAGTTCACCAAGGTTGCAAGTTTGATCCCTGGTCAGGGCACATGTAAGAATCAACTAATGAATACACGAATAAGTGTAACAACAAATCTCTCTCCCTTCTCTTCCCCTTGCCCTCTCCCCTTCTCCTATCTTTGACTCTCTAAACAAAAACAATATAAAGAAAATGTAAATAACCTATTTTTTAAATATTGATTTTTTTGAGTCTTGACATAATGTTGGATATATTGGATTACATAAGTAGTAAATTTAATTTTATGTGATTCTTTTTTTACCTTTGTAATGTGACTACTAGAAAATTCAAAATTAAATACTTGCATTTTACTGCTATTGAATATAGCTGTCTTAAATCAGTGATGAGTAAGACATGATTATAGTACAGATTCCGATTTGAGTAGTAATGAAGGGATTGCATAGTGTGCTTGCGAGCCTTTCTTGATACATGCTTGTCATGTTAATGTACATTGAATGTACCTTCTAAGTCTCCGAAGTTACTGAGTTGGGTCACTTAACCAGGACCTAGTTATTTTTCCTGCACTTCCTGGTTTCGTTTTCTGAGGGAACTTGGATGCTTTCTAAGGCTTCATTGAAGGGAGGCATATGCCTTGCTGGCAGCTATGCTCTTGCTCTTCAGTCAAACATTTAAGAATCTTATATGAGTTAACTCATTTTAGTCTTCCTAACTATCCTACGACATGTACGTTCTACTCCTATTTTACAAATGGGGGAACTAAGGCATTGAAGAAATGTGGTCATTTTTCTTGTAGAATACCACCCTTCTGGGCTTGTCTTAACTTGCTTTCTCTTGGTGTCGTTTAGCTTCTCCTCTGTCCATGTGCCTTGTATTACTTGCACACTGGAAATTAAATGCTTGATAACTAACTTCATTGTATTTCATTTAAAGTCATATCTATTGACCCTTACTAATGTTGTCTAGGTCACTGGATTAGAATGACATTACTCATATCTTTTTCATTGAATTTATAATACTTTTGTTATGGGATCAGCATGTATCTGTGGTGTTTTATACTGGTCAGTAATCTTTCCCTGAACAGTTTTGAGTGTGCTGTTGTCTTGGATTTTCTTTGCTATATTTTAAAGGTGGTTTTTAGTAGTTTGTTAATGATATAGAAGTCTGTTAATAGCCGTCCTGGGTAGCTCAGTTTGTTAGAGCGTTGTTGCCGTACACTTACGTTGTGGGTGTCATCTCAGGTCAGGGCACATACAAGAAGCAATCAGCGTATTCATCAATAAGCGGAATAACAAATCAATCAGTCTCTGTCTCTGCCCTCCTCTCTCAAATCGATTGAAAAATGTCTGTTAATAATGAATAGAGGCTACTGTTTATGTTGTATGCATGCTGGGTGCTGAAAATTGGGATTTGCTATCTCCAAATTTAGTACTCTTCAAATAACTTAATCCCAATTTGTAGATTAGGACACAGGTTTAGAGAATACAAATGTTCCATGAAAGGTTGTCATTCCTCCAAATTAGAAGAGCTAGGAAGAGCTAGGATTTGGCCTCAGACTCCCTTACCCTGCCATTTTTAGTTCTCAGCAGCCTTGAAAGAACATTATATGGCTCAGAGAATGGCTAAAGAAGCTACTGCGTAATGAAATTGGAACCAGGTGTACTGAGAGAGTAGAGCCATTGTCTTGTATTGGAGGCCTACTGTTTGAGTTGCAAACAGGAAAAAACATGGTCAGTTTATTTTGTGTATGAGTATGCTGAATTATTTTCAGCAGATACTGTATTTTAATACTTTTAATAGATGTTTCTGATAACACTTGGAGTAAAGTAAAGCTAAACTTGGTCAAATTGAGAAGCGAGCGTTTCTGGTGGGGTTGCGTGGAGTGACTTCATGGGCGCCTTCTCTGCGGAGTGCGGTCTGATCTTTACAGGTCATCTTGGGCATTTTCGTTCCTTGTTCATGTGAGTATATTATACGTAAGGGATGTATGTGCTCACCGTCTTATTTCTGGAAGAGACCAGTCTTTGTTGAGTTGGTACATTTTGGCTAAACTGACAAAGAGATTGGTTTTTGAGGCAAAAACACATTGGATATTTACTTGGAGCACTTCCATCCATAGGGTAGAATGTCGAGCCAAATAGGGAAGGGACTAGAATGTTGATTTAGTCCCTTGGAAAAAGAAAATTGAATATTGATGAAAACACACACACTAACCTACTCTGGTGTTTTTCTCTTTTATTGGTGTTACTTCCTGATGTTTGTTAGAGTATCCTGACCTGGGTAGTCCTGGAGACACTGACATTATTCTCCACTCTCCCTTTCACATTCTCAGTGGAGATGCTTCCATTTCATCCTGGATGAAATATTTCTTATTGGGTGAAATACATTGTTTGTATTTATTTAGTTCCCCATCCTGCTAGTGTAAGAGTTCATTTCTGCCCTGACATGGGTGGCTCGGTTGGTTGGATGGTGTTTGCAAAGCGAAAGGTCATCAGTTGGATTCGTAGTCAGGGTACATGCCTAGGTTGCGAGTTCAGTCCCTGGTTGGGTGTGTATAAGGGACAACTGATTAATGTTTCTCTCTCACATCGATGTTTCTCTCCCTTTCTCCCTCCCTTTCCCTCTCTCTTAAAAAAAGTTCATTTTTAATATATTTTAATTATGAGCATAATGGATGTTAAAGGGAATTTTAAAACTTCGTAATTACCACCTCCATTTAGTACTCTTTTTAAGATAGAAAATTATTTTATTTTAGCAATCAGTTTATTTTCCTTTCACTAAATACTTATTATTATTGTTGTTATTACTACTACTATTATTGGGGCATTTTAATAGTTGGGCTTACTTGAAAGATGTTATAGTTCGAGACTTTCTTCATGAATTCTGAAATAGTATTAAGTGGTATTTTTTAAAAAGATTTTATTTATTTTTAGAGAGAGGGGAAAGGAAGGAGAAAGGGAGAAACATCAATGTGTGGGTACCTCTCATGCACCCCCTACTGGGGACCTGTCCCGCAACTTGGGCATCTGCTCTGACTGGGAATTGAACCTGAGAGACCTTTGGTTTTCAGCCTGTGCTTAATCCACTGAGCTATTCCAGCCAGGGCTAAACAATATTTTATTAAGGTTTAATTTACAGACATGAAAACGCAGACATCTTAGGTATATAGTCAGTGACCTTACATCTGTTTTCACCTATTTGACTATTGCCCAGATTAATTAAAGATGTGGAACATTTTTACCACCTTTGGAAAAGTTGCCTCATTACCCTTTCCAGTCAGTACTCTCATAGTCTCGCCCAACCAGGTCTCTGACTTTTCCTATCAGAAAGAACATCCTCAGATAAAATGTTTTGATAATTCATCCTGTTTTGTGATCAGAACTTTGTTTTTATTGCTGAGTAGTAGTCAGTTGTATGCCCTTATATTCTTTTACTTAGAAATTTTCCTTGCTGTTCTTTTTAGATTTTTCTTGATAGGAATGTATAAAGCTTGTAAAAAAAAAATCCCCTTTTGAATTTGCCATACACCTATAAATTAATTTGGGAAGAATAAAATGGATATGTGATGAATTTGTAAAGATGAAAAATATAGGTAAATAATAGGGTGAGGCAAAAGTAAGTTTATAGTTATGAGTCCACAAAACATTTTATTCTTGTATTATTGTATTTTTTTTACATGAACTGTAAACCTACTTTTGTCTCATCTTGTATTACTGGAATTGAAAAAGAGTTAAAACCATTGGTACAGGACAAAAGGATTTATATTCAGCTAGGTACTAATAAGCTATACAATTGGATGAATAGATATTCTAATACAAGCAGGATTTTTGTGACGCTAGAAGGAACATGGGGGCAGCAGATGAATGGAGCAGGTAAATTATATTGCTATCAAATTTTGAACAGATTGCTACATCTTTATGTAACTTGATTGATGCTTGCTATGTAAATCTGTAAATATGGTGCCCTTATTCACTAGGGTTTTTTAAATGGTGCTGCTTGCATTGTAATTCTTTTATTAGCACAGATATTTTCATGAGGAGGCAGACTGCATTAATCAGATGTTTACTCTGAGGTTGGGTTTATGTGGAAAGGCAGGATAAACTAAACACATGACTCTTACCCCACTTTTTTAAACCCATACTAAAAAGTAACCAGGTTGTTCCAAAAGTGATGAAAAGTAATGCTTAATTTCCTGTCTACCGACCTATGCTAAGTGCTTTATATGGCTTAAATTATTTATAGCTCATGGCACTCAAAATATTTTACATATTGAACTATATACCTAAAACCTTTAGTTCGATTAACCAATGTTACCCTGATAAATTTGATAAAAACATTTTTAAAAAGAATATTTTACAGATAAGGAAATTGAGTCTTAGAGAGTTTTCAGTACCTTGCTTGAGATCTCACAGTAAATTGCAGGGTGCCTGACTGATCACCCAGACAGATGCTCTTACTCCAAAAAAGTTCCTGACTAGGATGCCACCTATCTTTGCCTGTTCTATGTATATGTTAAGTGCTTATTTCCACTGAGGCGATTCACTGGACAGAGGACAGGATAGAGCCAAGTATTATGGTGTAATACAGTGTGCTATAGAAACCTGTATTTACCAATTCATTAGTGAATGAACATGGAAAAGAGTTGTCCACTTACTACATATCCAATCTGACATACCTGGATAAGTATTAGTTTTTGTGATTGAGTCTTTTATTATCAGACATTTTCTAATCATGTAGAGCTTACCATCTACATGGTTTTATTTAATGTCTGAGTAGCTATGCTTTATGAAAAAATTAAGATTTGCTATGAATTTGAGATTGTTTGAGATGAATTTTCATAAATGTCAATTTCCGTTTTTCTGCTATGCATTCCATTGGACCAGTGTGGTATGGATACCATTTGGTAATATTTACTAGAGTGTGATCTAGATGGGTATGTATTCAGGTAGAATGTGTTACTCTTGTACCTTTAATTTGGGGGTGGGAGTTCTGGTTCTGTATGTACCTGTGATTATGACTTTGTTTGCCTATTTTATATACCATATCTATTTGTATGCTCCTTCTCATTTACCTAGGTTCTTGGCCCATTTTTTAAAGAAGAAGATGGGTAAAAATCAAGAAAAGATTTCTGATCAGACTATATTTTTGCTTTAAAATAGCAACTTTGGCATTGGAAAAATTTGCCCAATAAAGGTCGACTCAGCTCTTGCCTAGAGGGATAAAAGGGTTAAATTTAAAGAAAAGGCCTTGGCTCCCTGATGTTAAAGCAGCATTTTAAAACTTCTGTACTGAAGGTCTGGGAGTGTAGCTTAGAGCACAAAATATTTGTTTGGGGTCTCAAGTTTTATCTTAAATATGTATGAATTTTATGTTTTACTCCATTGCACATTTGTTTAACTAAACGTAAAACACCTGAAGTTATTTTTTTGAGAGCCCTTGCCCCCAAATTAGTATCTAGAGCTCAGTTTTGCTAGTAAATGTATACTAACAAATCTTTGCTCTTTAATAGTCCTTGAGAGCCTAGCTTGATGAACTTTTTAGATAGTGATGACTGTGAGATACTATTTTTGTTTGGTTTGAGAATCAATGTCAGGGGATAGGAAAATATATACAAATAAATATGGTAAATGGTAATGCATGAAACACTTTTCAAAAATAATTTTTTGTGGGTTTTTTGTTTACATAGTTCAGTTCCTTAGTATTTCAGTAAAATCTTGAATTTATGTTTTAATATGTCTTTAATGTCTTGTTTACTTCCAGGTGAGAAGCCATTTAAATGTGACCAGTGCAGTTATGTGGCCTCCAATCAACATGAAGTGACTCGCCATGCAAGACAGGTTCACAACGGGCCGAAACCTCTGAACTGCCCACACTGTGACTACAAAACAGCAGATAGGAGTAACTTCAAAAAACATGTAGAGCTCCATGTTAACCCACGGCAGTTCAATTGTCCTGTATGTGACTATGCAGCTTCCAAGAAGTGTAATCTGCAGTATCATTTCAAATCTAAGCATCCTACTTGTCCTAATAAAACAATGGATGTCTCAAAAGTGAAACTAAAGAAAACCAAAAAGCGGGAGGCTGACCTGCCTGATAACAATACCAAGGAAAAAACAGAGACAGAGCAGACAAAAACAAAGGTGGACGTGGCTGGAAAGAAAAATGAGAAGTCTGTAAAAGCAGAGAAAAAAGACAATGTTTCAAAGGAGAAAAAGCCTTGTAGCAATGCTTCGATCCAAGTGACTACCAGAACTCGTAAATCAGCAATGGAAGCTAAAGACGTGGATGTGCGTGCAGGAAACAGTTCAGAAAAAACCTGTAAAACCAAGAAAAGTAAAAGGAAGGTGGAAGCTGAAGCCCGTTCCTTACAAGATTCCGTTAATGATGAGGAACCCGTGACAAAAAAGAAAAAGAAGACAGAAAGCAAATCCAAAAATAGTCAGGAAGCGCCAAAGGCTGAGAACAAAGTAGAGGAGAATAAGAAGCAAAATACTTCTGGGAAAAAAAATACAAAGAAGAAAACTTTGAAAAATAATAAATCAAGTAAAAAAGGCAGCAAGCCGGCTCAGAAGGAGACTGTTCAGAGGGGGCGAGCGCAGACAGAGCCGCAGCCCCCTGTGGAGCCTCCCGTGGAACCTGCTCAGACAGAGCCGCCTCCCCCCGAGGAGCCTTCTCCGATGGAAGTTGTTCAGAAGGGGCCTGTCCACGTGGAGGAGCCTCCCCCCGTGGCACCTCCTCCCGTGCTGGAGCCCGCTCCTGTGGTAGAGCCCTCTCCTGTGGTGGAGCCCGCTCCCGTGGTGGAGTCTCCAGTTTCCAAAAGGTCTCCTCAAAAAGATAATAAAAAGGAAAAGTTGAACATGCAGAATGAAATGGCTAGGAAGGAGCAAGTCCTAATTGAAGTTGGCTTAGTGCCTGTTAAAGATAACCAGCTTCGCAAGGAAAACGCAGGGGCACAGGATTTCCCACCACCATCACCACCATTGCCAAAGGAAAACTTAGAAGAAGAGGAGTCAGCAGACCAAAAATCACTCACCGAATGCGAAGAAAATAAAGAAGCTCCCCTTCAAAAAGTAGAAGCAGAAGAGGCAGATAAGAGTCTAGCTGGTCTTGCTGCTGTTATCAAGGAACCTGCAGAAATTTCGTCCTCTGAACAGAACTCGAATGCGCCAGAGGGCGAAACATCAGATGGTAAACATCAGGCTGACACTGGGCTTTGTGAAATGGACGCTAGTGAGAACAAAACAGAGAATCCCCCTGGAAAAGACTCAGTAGTTGAAGAACCAGTTTCACCTCTGCTTCTTCCCCTATCAACAGAGAAAGGTGAAGCAGTGTTCAAAACTGGTGTGGCATCACCTCCTGTCACCATTGCAGTAAACGAGTCTCAGGAAATGGATGAAGATGAAGGCATCCACAGTCATGATGGAAGTGACCTAAGCGACAACATGTCAGAGGGTAGTGATGATTCTGGATTAAATGGGGCCCGGCCAGTTCCACAAGAAACTAGTAGGAAGAATGCAAAGGAAGCCTTGCCAGTCAAGGTGCCTGAAGGAGATTTTGTTTGTATCTTCTGTGATCGTTCTTTTAGAAAGGAAAAAGATTATAGCAAACACCTCAATCGCCATTTGGTTAATGTATACTTCCTTGAAAAAGCAGCTAAAGGGCAGGAGTAATTAAACTTTGGAAAAGGCTTCAGTTCTTAGTTCATAAGGTCTACATTTTATATTCATTTATACTGGTAGACCACCTTTTATTTTTAGAATTGCTTTAATTAGTGTCTGATGTTGATTTTTAAGTGGCACTCTTTTTCTTAGGACTCTGTATACCTAGTGTGTAAATTTTAGCAAATCCAAGGGAGTTAGTGTACTAAACCTGCAGACACCTAAATCTTTTAGTTTGTGCATTTAATTGAAACTAGAAGGCCAAGGTGGTATCACAGCATTCTGTTGCTTTGTCTAGCTGTGACTTGTCAGTTTCCTCCCCATGTCTGTCTTCCTGTTACAGTTTAGTTTATTCTTAATTTTTTGTTTAGCTCTATTAAAATTGGCATACTTAAATAGCAAATTACTTGAAGAATTTGCCTGCTTTATATAAAGTTAGCACTTTAAAATTTTTTAGACGTGAGAAGAGACATTTAAATTGAAAAAAATCTCCCAACAGTGGACATTGTTTCAGTCCAGGTATTTACTCCCAAGTTTTGATCAATATTTCTTATTTGTATATATTAATCATCATAAGAACATTGATTTTTTTATCTTTTTTTTATTTTGGTGCTTTAATGGCTATATTGCACATTGTGTTTTTTTTTAACCTATGCAGTTAAATTTTCCTAGATATAGCATTTGTGTTGAACAGTAACACTTTATACATATATATGCATGTTTATTTTGTCCTCTTTGGAGGGATGCTTTTAGTCTTGTTTGCAAAAGGGCAGTTTTTCTTTTGCTGCAATTGTCGTTTTTGCAGAATATTAGTGTGTGCAAGTTTGTGAGCAAATGAAACATGCAGGTTCAAGTCATTGATTTTGATTTTCACATCTTATATCTATGCCAGATCTGTATTTCATGTAAGTTATTTATTTTAAGTGGATGTAGTAAATTCACAGCTCTCGATTTGAACTTTGCAATAAATGAACCACTAGGCTCTATATTGAATGGCATTTTCTCTCAAATACCAACTGTAAGTAAAGTTTATTGGCCTGTTTTAGTACTAGTACAGCTACTTCTTAAATGTACAGTATTAAGTCATCTTTGAGGAAAACTTTTTTTCGTAGATGGTTGGTATCCATATGACTACTCAACTGTTTGACATTGGGAAATTGCAAACCTGGAATTAAGAGACATATACCACCTGCAAATTGTATAGAATGTCAGCTGTGAGATTCCAAAGCCATAGCAATTATACGGAAAACCTAGAATGATAAAGGCAGTATGAGTGCTGATTAGCCGGCTGCCACTTCCTACGAATATAATGAAAAAGGCTGGTGAACCTTAATTACAGTTCAGATTTAAAAAATCACACTTTCTCAGGGATCTCCACAAAGTAGTGGGTTTCCTGGCTGTTCCTGTGACAGCCTCTTTATACAGGTGAGGCCTCAAATGAATTGCAGCTATCCTGGTGTTCCTGTGGGAATACTTTGTATGGGGGAAGGCGTGTGTATTCCCAAACTGTTTTGGTAGATTCTTTGGCCAGGTGCTGAAGAATATGGAAATCCAGCATAGGATTATTCTTGCTGATAGTAGTTATTCATTGCAGTAAAAATAAAGTACGATCTCAAGTAGGGAATCTTGAACAATTCTGATTTTCCATTTTCTGTTTTGAAATAACCACTTTATATTTCATTTATTATTACTATTTTAATCCGGTGATCTCTTTGGGGCGCAGGTGTCAGAGTTTGGCAGTGCAACATGAAGAAGATTAGGAAAAGCATTGATGAAGTGTGGGTGGAAAACTTGCTAAAAATCTGAGAGTGAAGTTTGAGTTGAAAGACGTTTGAATTGAACTTTGAATTGACTGGGAGGCCAAAGATTGAAAGATGATTCTCTCAAGACGTGAGGAGTAAGTTGTGTGTTCACGGTGTGTGTTTTGTGTGCATGAATGGGAATTTGTAAATGATGTTGAATTCTAGGTGAATTCTCAGCTCCGACAATCATTGTCAACAGAAGATCAAGCTGCAAATATTTATGTTTTAAAACTTAAATTATAAAGCTAGTTAAATCTTTCTAACAGCTAGTTTTGATGTTCATGGGTACATTTTATATAAGTTGTCTTTTACTTTATATGTGAAAAGATTCCTGTTAAGTACAGATTAGAGACTGGGAATCAGTTTGGGGGAGAGGTTTTTGTGGATTCTTTAATACTACAAAAGAGAAAAAAATTGACCTCTGTGGAATTGGATTGATTTTCTTATTTCATTTTAAAGACCAGAACACCAAAAACAAAAATATAAAGGAAATTAAAACCCTTTATTGTTTAATTGATCTGAAAAAATTGTTACTAGAAATTGAGTAGGACTTGAGGCCTTTCTTCCAGAAAACAAGGACTTGATTGTCAGGCCTATATTAGGTTCTGAACCTTAATGCCATGTATTTGTACTTACTAAAAATTGTTTCAGTGAAAAGTATATTAGTAATACGAACTTCTAGTCTAGTCAGGAGTTCTTCCATTTGCAAAATGTGATATTTGCATGGAACTGTTTTGAGTCTTTTTTTTTTTCCAGTTTCCCCTCCACTGGATAGAATTGAAACTAGAATTTTCTCTTTTGATAAAGGAATAAAAAGTGAAACATGTTATATGTAAATTGATGTTTAGTAACTAGAGATAAACTTGAAATCCTAGAAGACATTATAAGCCTAATCATAGGTAGTCTTATGAAAATGTATCTCTTAACTATCTTTTTGCATCTGTAATGTTTTCAAGATATTTTAAATTATATATTTTTCCTCTTTTCAGAGCTGCTTTGGGGCTTTTTTAAAAAATGGAAGTGTAATTTACAAGGGGTAACAATTTTTGACAAGGCTTCTTATAACTATGGCTGGATGTTTTTTCTAGTCTTCCAGTAAGGGCCATTTTATTTTTTAGAGTCACTTCTAAAGTCTTGTGGTCTTTAACTTTGGGGACTGTTTTGCATTTGAGTGCTAATACATATTTAAACCCAAGTAGACCTCATCAAATGTCACCCTATGAATGTTGACGATGGAAGGACTACCTTGCCTGTAGTATCAATATCAGTTCTGGACTGAAAAGCTGGGGAAGAAACATAATTTGCTTTTTTGCATAAATCAGAAAAATAGCTAGTATATGGAGTTTCCTTGTTGACCTCAGCAGGTAAACTGAGCTGATAGTATTATTCAGATTCAGGAAGTTATCTGAATCTTGGTTTGTGTAGATTTGCAATCTACATGCAATATTAACTAAATCAAATAGCTTTTACAGTTTCACCTGTGTACATAGGCTCTCACCACCCTTTTCAGCATCCATTAGTTATTGAACTTTGTAAACTGGCATGGAAACATTGCAACACTATTTTGTTGCACCAATTTTATAAACTTTTACAGTGCAATACGTGTTACTTTTCAGAGACAAACCAAAGGTTAATTTCTCAAGGTTCTTGCTGCCTGCTTTAGCAGCATTTGATGGATGATCTTTTATATACATTTGTAATAGATGAAAAATAAACCAGATTGCAAATCCTTTTTTTTTAAATGCTTAAACCATGTACCAAGTTATTGGTCCAAAATCATGTAAAATAAGTTAAATTGCATTCTATTAACCAATATGAGCGTATTTCTGTAAGCATAGTTATGTTGAAATAAAGTTTTAAAAAGCATATTGTGCCTTTGTTTATTACCGGTATATCAAGTACCAAGGAAGCTAAATTTATTTTGCTGGAATTGCAAGTATATCAATAATTTTGTAAATTATTTTCTCCAGGTAACTCACAGTAGATAAAAAAGTCATGGCAACCTATTGCTTAGGGAAACAAACCATTGTATAGTAGTCCAAAGCATATCTTACTGTTACCTGTTTTCTGGGAGATGGAGGGGAGGGAGAAACAATGAAAGATGAATTCACAGAAGACTTTTTATGTGGTCATTCCTTCCCAGCTGCAGGTCCCCTTACCAGTTTTAATGTACAAGTCCCTTGGCAGGTGTGGTGGTGGTAAATTTTGACTCATAAACAGAAGAAGGTGATTGAAGGGAGGGTAAGTTGAGTTTCAGAGTGTTAAAGGATTTTTACTGTATTTAATGGAACTCTGAGAAGAAATTGAAACTCAAGGGAAAGCGATAAACCTTTTTGTTAGTGAGGTTTTGCTTCTTTTGTTAACGGAAATATACAGTTGAGCTTACGTTTTTATGAAGTTGAGAAAAAGGAATTGGGGGAAGCCTCTCTGGCTATGCAAGCATCAAAGCAGCTGGGTTTGCATTCTGTCCTGCTGCAGTGAAGAGACCTGGAATGTCGTGAATCTGAAAGAATGGATAGTTCATATTTGAATTGAGAGTGATTCTCTTTCCCCTCCTTTAAGACTCCTCATAAGCAACAAAGCAAAATGAATTTCCAAGCATGTATTTTATTGGCATGGTAGAACCAGTGACAGTGATCTTGGAAGTGTCTGCCTGATCAAGGATATATGGGGAATTTACCGGGAATGTATACATGCTTTTTTTTTTTTTTTGGTAAGATTTTATTTATTGAGAGAAAGGAGAAAGAGAAACATCAATGTGTGGTTGCCTCTTGCATGCCCCCTACTGGGGACCTGGCCCGCAACTCAGGCATGTTCTGTGACTGGAAATCGAACCAGTGACCTTTTGCTTTGGTCCACTGAGTCCACTGAGCTACACCAGCCAGGGCTGAATACATACATGCTATTGATGTCTGATTTGGTTTGTTATCTTTAATGAATCAGAATGATTGTAGTGTCCTTCTCTTGTCCCTTGCTGTTTTCCCAGAGGTTTACCCCCGTTAGGATTTTTACCTGTGTCATACATTTATTATTAACCTTTTCCTCCCTAACGTCTCAGTCAGGGCTTGGCCCTGGTATAGTAGTAGTATGAGCTACTCGGAGGGATACTTTATAGCTCTTCAGTTCCATGAAGGCAGTGTAGTGAAGGTGCTAAGAACAATGCTCATGTTTGCTGATGAGGGAACTTTTCAATGTTAAGAAATAGCCTTTTCAAAGGATTTTGATGCTCGCTGTATTATGTGCTCTTCAGGGCCTAGTTAGAGGGGTTCACAATAGAGCTATCTTACTATAGTTGGACAAATCATTTTAAATTTTAATAAACCTGTTTCTTTATCTATAAAATGGGGACATCTATCTGTAGAGTGGCTATGAATGTTAAATGCTTACTAAACATTTAACCTAGTGGTTGGCCTACAATTTTAAGATCTCTTACTAGATAACCAAATTAAGTGTCCTAAAATACATAAAGTGCTTTAACTATCAGTGTGATGAAGTTGTATAATTCACCTGGTTGTCCTGCATGCAAAATAAGCTTTTTTTTTTTTTTAAGTAAAAAAATTTAAAAAAAATTTATTGGCTTCAGAGAGAGAGAAACAGAGTTTGTTGCTTCACTCATTTATGCCTTTATTGGTTGCTTCTTTATGCCTTTATTGGTTGCACCCTGACTGGGGGTCAGACCTGCAATCTTGGTGTATTGGGATGACAGTTTAACCAACTGAGTTTCCTGGCCAGGGCTCAAAAATAGTGAAAAATAGTGAGCTTTTAAAGTGTAGCCCATATACTACTTAGGAGTCTGCATTATAATCTTGAGACTGAGGATGCTTTTATGTTCACTATTTAATTCAAGCACCTAAAACATTATGTGGTCCTCAGTAGGGCGAACAGTCAGTCCTTCATTGTGTAATCCAAGAACTGTGTGTGAGATTTGTTTCTTGTTTTTGGTAATCAGTAGACAGTTTTACTGAATTTAAAAGGTTTTTGTAATGGGGAAATCGTTTGGTTCACAGACAGATTTTAGGGTATTTTTCTGGATGCCTAAACATTTATAGTCAAGGAGAGTCAACCCAAGTAGTAGGAAACAGCAAATCTTAAGAAAGGCACTTAAACATTATTTTAAAGAGGTTTCAAACTTCTAGAGAAGAAGCAGGAGTGCTACCCTAAAGATCTTGTTGTACCCCTTGGGTTCACCACTCATTTGCTTTCTTATATGTATTGAGTATTACTTGCTGAACCATTGGAAGTTAAATTGCAAGAATACCCCTTCACCTTCAGATATTTTCGTTTGGATCTCCTTAAGGATAAGGCTATTCTCTTGTACAACCGTACTATAATTAATCAAATTGAGGACTTTCAAGGTTGGGATAGCATGTAATAGGCAGTCTGTTCGAATTGAGCCACACGTCTAAATGCTGGACCTGTCTCCCTGTTCCTGGTCACTGACAGCAATCAGCTGTCACCATCTCTTCAGTTCAATTTGGAAAAATTCCTTTTTGTCTTTAAGAAGAGTACATGCCAGCTTTTTATTAATTTGGATTATTCTGATTGTTTCCTCATGCTTTTTGTTATGCATTTTGTCAGAAACACTAAACTTCTGCATCAGTTACATGGGAAGACACATGATGTCATTTTGTCCCATTACTGCTTGTATCTTATTATTTGGCTAAGGTGTCCACCAGATTTCTCCACTGTAAAGTTGTTTTTCCCCTTTATAGTTAATATTCTGTGGGGGGATATATTGAAACTATCTTATTCCCCAGCAAATGCAATGACTTTTTCATCTCTTGATTTTTGCTTGACTCTGTCACACCTTCTATATGAGGTGGTATTCTGCACATTCTCTTCTCCTGGGAAACTCAAATTCTTTGCATGTGTAATCTGATAATCATTCATTTACTTTACCCCCCAGTTCAGCCAGCAGGGCTGCCCTTTCCAGTTCCCTATATGAGACTTTTTACAGTTACTTAATATACCGAAGGATTCTTACGTAGGACCAAATACTTGGGAGCTCAGACATATCAAAATTTCTCTCTGCTTAAGTCATAACAATGAAATTTATGAAAGCCTGATGGAACGTCTTGAGGGATAAACCGCAAGTGGAAATTTATTAGTGGTCAAGATTATACTACTAGAAGGGGCAATTGTTGAGAACAGTAACCTAATTTTGATGATTTTGAAATATCACACCTTTTTCTGGGTGCTCTAATTACGTTTACAATCACGTGATACATATACAACTACATTCTCATAAAATTTAAACAAAATCATCTTGACTAGCTTTTTTCTACTGATCCCCATAACTCTCATTCCTCCCCACCCCCTTACTCATTTGTTTCTTCACAGTTAACTACTGTTGATGGTTTACTGGCTACTGGTCACCTCCATATGTGTGCATGTCGAAATGCATTGTTTCTTTTAACATAAGATTATTGATACCCTGCAATTTGCAAAACTCATAATTTGAAGGTCTTTGTCAGTAGTTAAGGACCTTCCTCATTCTTTATAGCTATTGCATGATGTTCTATAGTTAGGGATATATTATGGCTTAATTGATCTCTTTTTCTGACATACTTATTGCCAGAATTTGTTGACAATGTGGAAGTATATGGGAGTGGAAACTGAAGGGTTTCAGAGGACCATAATTTCTTTTTTTTTTTTTTTAAGATTTTATTTATCTTTAGAGGGGAAGGGAAGGAGAGAGGGAAAGAAACATCAATGTATGGTTGCCTTTCATGCGTCCCCTGCTGGGAACTGGCCTGCAGGGAACCCTGGTATGTGCCCTGACTGGGAATCGAACCGCAATTGTCTGGTTCGCAGGCCCGTGCTCAATCCACTAAGCTACACTAGCCAGGGCTCATAATTTCTTAAACTTTACAAGTTTATACTTGTGTTCTTAAGATTTGCAAATCTTTCAGATTTGCCAATAGTGAAGTCTCAACATTCTTATATTAAAGTTTTTTTTTAACGTGGAAGACTGCGTATTTGGAATATTTAATTTAGTGTCGTTTACAATAATAATGGATAACATGTCCAATAAGTAATGGTCAGCTTAAATATACCGCATTTTGCTATGTATAATGTGCACTTTTTTGCCCACATTTTTTGAGTGAAAAATAAGGATGTGCCTTATATGTGGACAGTACTAATTCCATATCTATATGTGTTTTAATTCTTTTATTTATGCTTGTGTTAAAAGTGTAATTCTAGAAAGTAATAACAATATCCATATGCAAGATGACATTGTGGAATATGATAATTGGTTTTGTTTCTTTCTAAATATAAATAAAAAATGGATTAAAAAAAGATTTCTTTCCTAAAAGTTTGGGCCAAAAATGTGGGTGTGCATTATACACAGCATAATATGGTAGTAGGGGAATAGCACTTTGGCACTTAACTAAACATTACTGGAGTGAATAAATTATCCACATAATGGTACATTAAATTACAATTTAATAAGTTATAGATTCCTACACGAGCATAAGCTGGAATTCAGCCATGTCTAGTGGACCAGTGTGGGAAGTCCAGGCGATCCTTATTTGCATGAGAGAAGGAAGATTTTCTGACAAGGTACAGCTTACCTTAAAAGATTGAGAATAAGGCAAGTGTACTCAGCAAGCATGGGTCCCTGTGGATGGAACTAGCCAAGGTAACTATGGTGATTGCAGTACCTAGAATTCAGAGAAAGGCAAGAGCAGTAATAGTCAAAGCAGTATGAGAAGCACGGAGAGACCTTGGTAGGGACGCTAATGAGCGTGATCATTTCACTGGTCACCAGTGTCAGCAGTTGTGAGGAGACATCGCCTGTGGCTGCTCTGTGCCTTAAGCACAGAGGTGGGAAATTCCATAAAAGCGAGCTGTTTGGGAGGAAGCAAGTGCCTCCTATGAGTGGGCAGGCCTTACTCATGAGCCATCTGGGGATCCCCAGGGCAGTCTGAACATTTTGCATGAGACTGGAGTTCCTGCATTAGCATTATGAGTAATTCTAGAGACTAGAGCCAAGCATTATTCTAACCACATTAACTATTAATCCCCTTAAAATGCCTAAGAAGTAGGTTGCTTTCTAAAGATGAGTGGCCTGATGTCACACAAGTAGTGACAGGTCTGGGCCACATGCATACTGTCTAAGTGAAGGATAGAATGTGGGGAAATGCAAGCTAAAATAAAAGGATAGGATGGGTTTAAATCTAATCT